GTGTGTGTGTGTGTGTGTGTGTGTGTGTGTGTGTGTGTGTGTGTGTGTGTGTGTGTGTGTGTGTGTTCTTCCGACTGCTGTTGTGAAGCTGTGCTTTTTGAGCAGCCTGTGAATGGAGGATCATGTGGTGAAGAGATGGATGGCTCCGAGCCCACTGCTGTCTTCTCTAATTGTAAAATATTAGTTACATTAGTCCCTGGCCTGTGATTAATGGAACTTATTTGGAGGTTGCCCTCTCTCGGACCTCCCCTCTCCTCTGGTGGGAGGAAAGAGGGAGCAGCCGACTTAAAGGAGACGAGGTGGGACAGAAAGTAAAGCCACGGAGGCACAGAGAGGGTGGGGTGGGGGGGGGGGGACAAGTAGGGCAGCAAGCAGCTCGTGTAGACACGAGACCCTTTGGCTCGCGGTTAGCTGACTTTGTGAGCAGAAACAAAATTCCCATTGTTTACAAGGATTCACAAGACTGAGGAAAATCTGTTCGGTTTTACCAAGTCACAGCAAACGTGCGAACCTTGAGGAAGTGTGATAAAAGTGATGCACCGACTCACAGAGCTGGTTTATATTTGGAATTCACCCTGTTTCCAGATTTTTCCACCCACACCAGCTGAAACTTGTGCAAGTTGGTGTGAAACAGGTGGACTGCTCCGTACCTGAGCTTCTCTTCCACCGTCGTTCCAAACGGATCACTCCCTCCTCACGAACACACACGCACACACATACACACACACGCACACGCACACACCCGTCATCCTGATGATATTCAAACGCGTCAGGCCTCATCCTCTCTTTGACGAGTGTGTACGTGTGTGTTTGTGCGTGTCCTTTACGGCCATCAGGTTATTACACACCGACAGATGGAGCATTACCTTTTATTGCCCGCACCTTCTGTGATTTTTCCCACTTTTTCCTCCCAAAAACACCTTTTTTATGTAGATGCGAAAGTGAGTGCGGAGCCGCGTCCAGCTGTCTTCGCTCTGATGAGGAGCGTGATCGAGAGGAGGAGGCGAGGGTGGGGGTGAAAGGGCTGAGACAGCCCTCAGTTTTTGGGAAGTGATGTCGAATGACGTTAGCACATAATGGTTTACTGTAACCATGAATCAGAGAAAAGCACACTGAAGTGTTAGACAGAGGGGCAAAGAGAAAGTCTGTGTGAAGTAACATCTCAAAAATAGCACTGCGGTGAACAAGGACATGTATTCTTCTAGGTAGAGAGGTAAATGAGTCACCCAGCTGAGTTTCTGTTTTGATCTTAGCAGCACCTTCAGGCTTTTTTTTGTGCTCTTTTATTGAGGCCAGATTAAATCCTGGAAGCCATTAACCAAATGTTTTGTTGTTTGTATCTTAAGGGTACACAGTGTTCTGTGTCATGTAGGTTGACTCTATTTGCGGTGGAACTTTGTAGCGGGCGCTAAAGAGGTGGACAGACAGGAAGTCTTGGCAGGCATTCCTTCCCAGCTGCAAACGTCTGTCATTCCTCGGCTCAGCGTTTTGCGTGCGTGTTTATTTATCTGTGTGTGTGTATGTGTGGGTGGGTGCGCGTATGTAAGTGTGTGTTTTTCTTCAGAGCAGGAAATATGATGCCTTTTTGTTTTTTTATGTTTTTTTAGATAACTTTTTAGTGCTTTTGTGTTTTCTTGTACTAAACTGCACATTTAGAAAACAGACTTAGTTTTTAATTATCACACAATAACTAGTAGGAACTTAGTTTAAACCCCAGTGACATATTTTAAACTCATCTCACGTAAATCCAATTTGCAGGTTAATACAATAAATGCAGGAACTCAAGCTGGARCTGGAGAAACTGGAAATGTAGCTGTGAAAAAGAAAACTAGAGGGCTACAATATGTGGTGTTCAACTCGTTTACCTAAATTCCATCCACATGGTAATTAATATCACCACAACAGGAAGGGATTTTATAGACGTTCTTGGCAGCCACAAAGCCCGCTCACTTCCTTCTTCAGTCTATTGGGCCATATTTTCCTACTTCTCCTACTACATCATTCACAGTTAAGGACATTATTTTGCTTCTTGTTGTAATAATGATTCATTTTTGCTCTTAAATAAAAGTCCTATTTTGGTAGAAGGACTGGATTGTGTAATTTTACACTCACTTTTGTGTTTGGTAAAAAAAAAAAATCACAAAGTTTGCGGCAGCAGCTCATTATTTATGGGATGCCAAACTACCAGACAGACATTATGCTTTTTCAAACCTGTTATGGGAACGTTTCTACTGATCCAATTTTTCAGGAATGGCAACATTATGTTGAAATGGCCCAGGTGGTTTAAAGTGTATTTTTAGGCCATTGCAAATTTATTGTCATTGCAACATCAGTAGAGGTGGGTAAAAATATCATATCATCAATGCATTGCAATTTAATATCAATTCAGAAAATCCTCTGATTCATTTCGATCCCCTGATCAGTTTACGTTTTTATGCTTGCACTCCATATTTAGAACAAGTAATATTGCGCTTTGTTTTCAGACATTTATTATTTCTGTTTATACGAGCAAGAAAATAAATATCTAAAACGTATCCAAAGAGACTCTAATGAATTCTTTAATTCAGTTCAATTAAGTTTATTTATATAGCGCCAAGTCACATCAAATAAAGAAGCCAGAAGTTTGCGTTGAGTCACTTTGATGCAGTCTTCCATCCTGAGCAGCACATTGGCGACAGTGGAGAGGAAAAACWMCCTTTTAATAAGAAGAAACCTCCAGCAGAACCAGGGTGAGGATGGGCGCCTTGGGTTTGAGAGGACAGGAAATAGGCAGAGAAACACAGAAGGACTGATCCAGGTGCATTTTTCTTCTGAAAGAGAGACAAAGAAAACCACATGTTAATGATAGAAGTAATTTCAACAAACATGTAGAGGAGAGAGACTAAAGGCAGCAGCAGAGTGAGGAAATGTGCTCAGTTTGTGCTCCAGCAGTCTAAGTCTATAGCAGCAGAACTAAAGAATAACTCAGGAAACCTAAGCCTAACTATAGGATTTATCAAAGAGGAAAGTTTTAAGTAAACATTTAAAGTAGACAGTCAGCCTTACAGGCAAAAACWGGAAGTTGGTTCCACAAGAGCGGAGCTTGATAACTGAAAGCTCTGCCTCCCATTCTACTTTTAGAAACTCGAGGAACCACAAGTAAACCTGCAGTCTGAGAGCGAAGTGCTCTGTTAGGAAAGTATGGAACAATAAGATGTTTAATATTAGATGGTTGTTAAGAGCTTTGTATGTTAGAAGTAAGCTTTTAATTTCCATTCTGAATTTGACAGGGAGCCAAYAGMGAGAAGCTAAAACCGGAGAAATATGATCTCTCCTTCCAACTCTCATTAGAACTCACACTGCAACCTTTTAGATCAACTAAAGACTTTATTTACTTATTTATTTATTTTAGGATGATCAGATTTAAAGCAATATTGCAAAGAATTGAAATCAAATTGAATTGTCTGCTTGAACTGTGATAAATGAATAAACCTTATTGTTTCCTTATAGTACATTATATTTCAGGTACAAGGCATTCATTTTCTGCATCATCATCATCATCATCATCATCATTGCTTATTTATAAAGCACAATAAAAACCAAAGTGCTGTACAGGAGCATAAAATAAAAAAAAATGCATGCATGCTGACATTAGATGTGGTCGATCCAATGCATCGTCACTGGCCTTGATGTGTACACCTAATTTAAATTAAGGTGACGAGACACATAAAGACAAACAACCATTCACACTGTCATTCTCATCTCGGGACAACTGGAGTATGCAATCCCAGTGTTTTGAGATGCTGGTGATTTTGAACACGTTATCTACTCTGAAGCAAAGCAAAAATCTTAATCTTAAGCCAAAGTAACATATTTTATTATTTTATTTGTTTATTGTTTCAGGACGGAAGCCGTTCCAGTGCAGGTACTGCCCCTATAGTGCGTCACAGAAGGGGAACCTGAAGACCCACGTCCTCTGTGTCCACCGTAAGCCCTTCGAYAACAGCCTGTACCCCGACCGCCGCCTCAGACGCTCGCACGCACCCCAGGCACCTTCCAGATCGTCTTTGAGCGTCACGGGAGACAACCGCGAATCAGGCAGAGACCAAATSGGTGTGACATCGTTGTGTGGGACTTGATGTTGTCATAGCAACTGCAGATACAGACAGTCCTGATTAGTGTTTTAGCCTCACCTTGAAAGGGTTAGGATGATTGAGATTGTTTAAAAAAAAAAGATKTTAACAACCAACCTTGATGTACATTCCAGTGTTTACTTGAAAAGCCACAGTATGTATTTATCTGTAGCAAAAAAAAAGAAAAGAAAAAATACTGCCTATGATATTAAAGTCCATTGTGATGTGAAAGTGTAGCAAAAGGTAATCTGTCCTGTTTGTTTTTTTCCCAGTGACCAAATAATCTGCGTGCGTTTCCACAGATCTGATACGAACACTGTTCCATGTTTGCCCAAAGCGCTTGTTCTTTCATCCAGTAAATACCCCGTGTTGCATTTTGGTAAATATCTCTCCATTTTCCTTCCAGTCCAGAAATCTTGTCTATCTGTCAGAATGTGGTGCCAGATGTTCGGCCTTTAATCGCAGCAGATGTAATGAAGTAGAATGTTGCACATCGGAGCTTCCATTTGTTCTGGATTCCACTCCAGGGAGAAAGCCTCTCTCACATATAATTATTGCCCATTAACTCCTATGCTTCATGCCCTCGTGCTGGAACAATGCTCAATTAAGAGGAACCAAGGAAATGGAAAAACTGCAGAGATTCATTGATGGTGCATTCAAATGGTTTTTTACTTTTTTTTTAAAGGTTGAACCTGACCTGCTCACCAGCAGAGGACAGACCTAATCAGCAGAGCTATTGTAAGCTGGTTCTGCCATGTTTGGTAATTTTAGCCCGATCTGAGCGGCCTCAGCTTCCTGTGCCAATAGCCTGCCAGCACACCCAAGGATCACCTTGGGCAGCTGTGTGTGTGCTCAGCCAGGCCGTTGTAGCCGCAGTGATGTGACTTTGACTGACAGTTCGCCTGACAACTCCATTCATGCGCCACCTGCTAGCTGTCAATCATGGCGGCCATCCTGGGGCTATTGACGGAGCTGTCAGCTTGTGTGAGATGTGTCTGTCAAAGCCCACCCACTCTGCCACTCCATCTCCCCGCCTGGGCAGCCTGACATTCGTTTACTGTCCTCCTTCTACCTTTCCTTCCCTTCCTTTCCCTTTTCTTCCTCTCTCAGTCTGTCTGTCTCCTGCCTGCTTCCCATCAGGGATGCGACAGCCCCTTAATCCCCGATCCAATCACAGATTCTTTGGATACACATTTGTCATCCTCAAACCCACAGCTTTTTGTAATGGAGTGCTTCACAAACACTTCTGCAGGTGACTCAGACCTGTTATACATGTTGTTTTTTACACCGTTCTCTTGTTTCTCCAACCACCCTGTCATCCTTGGCGCCACCCTTTCGTCTCACCTCGTTTTTTTCCCCCGTAAAGTTTCTTTTTCCGCCACCCTCCTGCCGTGCTCATTCACCCTTCATCTCTCTATCCGACAGTTGACGAGGTCTGAGCCTCCAGCTGACTGGAAAGTCAGAGGCCTGTCATACCTGTCAATACCACTCTAGAGCTGTGCCAAAGCAGATCAGGCCGGGCCAGTCGATCTGTGGAGTTGAACGAGGATGCAGAGTTTTGTGACAAGATGGGGGAAAACTCTTGTAACCAGTGGCCCCTCCAACGGCCCTCTGGATATGGATCATCCCTGAAGCCTCATCCTGTCAAAGCTCCTAATTAAGCACAGTTTCCCTTAAAGCAGGGTCGTTTAATTAATGCAGAGGAAGTTTGTTAATTACTCTTAATGGTGATGAATGCTTTAGTTAACGTCTCACTGCCACTGTCAATGTCATACTCAGGCATTTTRGGCCTGTGAGGACTCATCTCTCTAAGGTACGGCTCGTTTTTTATTTTTTATTTTTAACTTACTGGTGCTGTTTTACATTTAAACTCAAAGGTTCATTGTGCCAGCACAGTTTGCATCTTACCAAACACTGGCATGCATTTGACTTGGCTGCAAACCAAAAGCAGAAGTGTCCTTTTTTTTTCTTTCTGCATTTTATCCATCCAAGGTTTGGCTCACCTTGACCTTTATCTGAGTGACATCCTGTTTACCTGCAACAGGTCAATCCTCATCCAGAACACATATATTATTTTCTTTTGACCTGAGATCAAACTTAAAGGAAACATTTCCTGAAAAATCCACTTTTTTGCCATTAAATACATGTTTTGTGTACTTGGAGTCTCTAGGAGTGCAGAAAAGTTGAATTTAGTCTCTCCTGGTGCTGCGTAGATATCACTGCGTGGATCATATATTTCAACCTGTTCAGTTTAATCTATTTTCTATGATGTTTTCTGAACAATTACATCACAGTATTTGTGACGGAACCGCCAAACAAGGTAACAACAATTTTGTCATCTTCATTCTCCTCTGGCTCTGGGTCAGACTCCAACATGTAAAGATGGATGGACMAGTTTTGTGTTGTTGACATCCTTTAATTATATTGTAAAGAAAAGGTTTCTGTGCTGCTATATATGCATAAACCCCTCTATCAAACTAGAATGAACCTGTCTGGAAGCCAGAGAGAGGAGGGATGTGAAGCGCCTCAYTTAGATTTAAAGAAACAGCCTGAAAACGAGTTGATCTGAGACAGATGGGCCTGAAAATTTCAAYAATGAGGAATTAAGACCAAAGCATTGTAGTTCTACTTTATGTAAACCACAACTGAGTGATTTAAATTTGAAAAAGAAGGATTTAAAAGCACATTACGKCTACTTTAAAAATCTCCTAAAGACAAACTTTTGAAACTTTGAATCGTTCATTTTTAACAAGACCGTTTGTTGTCTCCTCTCATTTTTCTCTGTTGCTTACTTACCTCATCTTCATCCATCCCGTCATTGCTACTAGTCATTGTTTATCTGCGGATCATGTTTGAGATCTCTCTCTCAGCCRCACCGAGAGAGGCAGGCCATGTACGGCTAATCAGCTTGAATAAGTAAAGGAAACAGTTTGACAGACCAGGTAATGAGAAGTAATGAATCACTAATCACAGTCTCTCACAACCCTTGGAGCACAGATGAAAAATTAAAGGTAATTAGCTTGCACAGTTGTGAAAACAATATTTAAGACTGTTGGCATCGCGTGGCACAGACTTAACAGATTTTYTCTGCCGATAACATACATCAGCACCATGCTGAAGTTCTAATATCAAGCTGTTATTGCAAAAGCGCTCTCAATGTAATTTTAGTGACTGATCTGATTGGGGTGTACAAGTCTCACTGTTTTCTCTCTCTGGCAATCTTGGCAAAATGTGAGCATGATAAATGTTTCACTTAGCTTTTCCTTTATTATATTTTTTTTACACTGAGGTACAAATGAAACAGACCTTAAACATGGTTTTGAGGTTTTTCTGCGAAATGAACTCAGCAGGACGGCGACGTGCGAGATAATAGTCGTTCTCCACTTCAAACATAAAATGGAAGGTAGCTCAGAGCCGAGACATCTGGTCAGAGCTGCAAAGCCCGCTGCAGCTCTCCATGCTTTCTGTTCTTGACAGCAGACTGAGGGATGCTTTGACAGAGTCCGTGTTTGACAAGTCTGTGTGAGACTCAAAGTACAGGATCCAGACATGGACTGTCAGTCAAAGCCGGCACATCTCCCAGCTGAGACGTGCCAGTTTAGTCACAGTTACAAAGGAACTAATATGCGTTAAGTGGAGCAAGGCACACATATGGGCCTGGTAGAGCCCCGTGTCCCGAGGCTGGGATTGAATGAATGCCAAAGAACATAAGCCCAAGATATAAAAAGAATTAAAAGGGGACAAATAAAACACGGGGATTATGTCAGTGTGAGAAATGGAGGCGTTGTAATTCTGCATGTGTGCCGGCTTGCCTCTCATTTTTTTCAGCATCCAGGACCTTTGGGCTGCAGCCCTGCAGTCCTGCACCTGTGCTCCGAGAATCCAGGAGCCTTTGGATTCAGAACGGAGAGGAAGCTGTAACGCTGGATGAGAGAGGGGAGGGAAATAAAAAAAAAAAGGAAGGAGAGAAAGTGGGACATACTGATGGGCTGTTTCAGAGACAATAATCAGGTTCCAGAATGCTGCATCTAGCAAATCAAATGCCAACACTGAACGTGTTCAGCTTTAGCCATGCATGCAGGGGAGTCACCCCCCTGCAAACAGTACATGTGTTCAGTTAAATACCACTGCCAAGAAGTGTCTAGATTTTAACTTACCCTCTGCTCAGTCAGTTGTGTCATGTTATCCTTAAAGTTCCTTTGTGTACACTCCATTTTTTTTTTGCTTTCTTTCTACTTTATGCAGAAAGGACCTGTCTTGCATAACAAACAATTGCACCAAACTCCATTAAAATCACTTCATGGGGATGCTATACTGCCTCAAGTTAAAGACTGTAATTGAAACACATTTGACAAACCACGCACCGCGAAGCGACAGTAGACAAGCTGTGATTCTCACTTGCATTTTTAGTGGAGTGATCATCATCATTTTACTCAATGCTGTACACAAGTTGTTTGAATAGTTCRTCTCTAAAACAGTGATTCTTGGATTTAGTCACGCTAACAATCTTCAGATGGATACAGGCGCTGATAAAGAAGTAAATTCATTATGAGCGTTTCTGTCGTACATCAAGAGACAGTATCCAATGTTCAAAACCCAGGTTCGTAATAAGATACACACAAAAATGTCCAATTTTTAAAAGGAAAAATAAAAAAATACATGTCAACAKTTTCCACTCAACTGAACTGAGTAAAGGTAAATAAGTTAACTTTACTCAGTTCAGCTGAATGACAACAGTTGATTATTTTAAAAATTAAATCCACCACATCTGTTTTATGAGTGTAACTCTGAAGAAGTTGGATTTTATGTCAAATAATAATAAAAAAAGCAGTATGGAATGATTTATATAATCATAAACCCTGTTTTTTTCACAATGTAATGGAACATAATATAGTATACATC